AACATATTAAATGGTTATTTATGAATGTCACAGGTTGAGTGTTAGTAACATTTTACATTGTATTTGAGGAAGGAAATGAATTCAAAATGTCAAGGCTTTCACTGCCACGATTGTACATGTACTTTGTATGTCTTGTTAATGACCGGTTTGTAGTTGTCACTGATGAAAAAGTCAATAACAAAAAGCAGGATTCAAGTAAAAGAGCTTGATTGAACTCATGTAAGGTGATGTTGATATGCATACCAAGTTGCACCAAACAAAAACAGGTTGCACCAAACAAAAACAGGTTGCACACTCAATCCCATAATTTTTTAAAGGTGAAACATATGCTGCTTTTCTGCCACTTTCACATTAATTAGTTCAATTTGCTTCAAACTGATAATGTAATAGCAACAAGTGCACATAATCTAGATGTACCCAGTTTGATGACGTCATGCCAAAGAAAGTATGACAAATTAACCCCAGCACACCTATGGTAAACTGACTTGGTTAAAAAATGTATTGTGTGTAGAGATAAGCAAGGCTTAGTAAGACACAAAAAACACTGTTTTTTACATGAATTTGGTGCATGAAGACGTAACTATTAGACTGTGGAAACAAGAACTGAATAGTTGTAATCCATACTACAATGACTTCAGGAGCATAACGCTATGTCATTAACTGAGTAACCGTTAGCCATGATTAGGTGAAGTGAGGTGAAATGGGGCTTAACGTTGTACTTAAGAATATTTCGCTCATATGACGACGTGCAGGCATGTGTATGTCGGGCTGCTTATACCAGCCCAGTGAGTGAGTGAGTTTAGTTTTAAGCCGCACTTAGCAATATTCCAGCTATATGGCAGCGGTCTGTATATAATCGAGTCTGGACCAGACAATCCAGTGATCAACAGCATGAGCATCAATCTGCGCATTTGGGAACCGATGACATATGTCAACCAAGTCTGACCACCCGATCTTGTTATTTGCTTCTTGTGGCGCCTTTTGTGGCAAGCATGGGTTGTTGAAGACCTATTCTATCCCGGATCTTCACGGGCCAGTACCAGCCCAGACTTAAGCGAGTGAGTGAGTGAGTTTAGTTCATACTGAAGATCAATATTGCTTCTGAAGATCAATGTTCTAACCTGGGCCTTCACGGGTTCCCAGACTTAAGCTGGTTTCATAGAGCTAGCTCACTGAGATACCATGCTGCAGTTATATACCCCACTCTGACACATTATACTGACTCTGAGCCGACCAGTCCTTGTTGTACCCATTAATGCCGAGCGCCAGGTAGGGACCAACAAGTACCATAGTTTAACGCCTTTTGGTATGACACGGCCGGGGATCAAACCGGGACACGACCATCCACTCTCCAGGCAGACGCTCTAACCACTACACCATGGAGGCAGTTTTGCCTGGATTACTGTAATCTTGTAATACTGACAGTTTTCAGGTCATTTCCAACAAAAAGCCAATACAACCAAGGCAGTATTATTGTAATGTTTTTTGCCGTGGTGTCCCAGATCCAAAGATCCAAATCTTTGTTTTGGGTAGGAAGAAGGCTCCTGTTGATGAGTCAAAAGAAATAATCATTGTTTACCATATGAAACATAGAGGTATGTCATCGCATTTAACATTATTAACAGCTGCCACAATTTCAATTCCACCTATAATTTTCCTTTCCCTGACATTCTAAGTGAGCTCATGAAACATTAAATACAAAAATAATTTGTTACTATGCATAAATAGGCACAGGGTGAATGTGGAATATGCAGGTTCCATTGCTCATTATTTAATGACTAATTGCTTAATGATATTCCGAACATTCTGTTACTGCAGCTCTCATTTTAACCACTGCATAGCCTCTATATAGCAGAAAAACATACTGACATGTGATAATGAAGCTCATGAGTATGAAAGAAGAAAGGACACTGATAGAAGGATCTTAGAGCTTATTAAATGTTGGCCATTCAGTCACATACTATTCTATCACTGAATCAGTAATACTGATTCATTCTTAAGTGGTATCAAATCCACATTAATCATGAATTGGTTGACCACAGCTGAGGGAAGAATATATCACTGGCAACACTTATTTGATTCTCAAATGAGGCAGTCTAGGCAACACCAATTATATTTCTTGTTTTACAGATTTTTGTCCTCGGAAAACCAAAAGCAGGCGGGAAATTTTTTTTTTAAAAATCACCAGTCAAAGTAATATTCCTGTTAAATACTAAAAGTATTTTACTTCTGGTAATTTATGAAGAAATATTTCGTGAAAAAATACAACTGCGGATCCGTAAAACGAGAAATAAAATTGGCCTAGCCTTATGGTAAAATAAAAGGTATTAATCCACATTATGGATTTTGGGTTAGGTCACTCAGAAACCTATGCTTGCAATCTGTGACATGAGCCACTTGTCCTAAAGTACAATTTCATTCCATCAGCTAAACTCAGCTAATAATAGCCCCTAGATTTACATTAATACACACGGAAACTGATGACGAGAGCATGTTTGGACGTGTTGCTGATTCGGATGTTATTTGAAGCGATTCTGAATCTGTGAGGTTGAAGAAGCTATTAAGTAGATCCATAGAATCCAATATATTAAGTAAAACCCTATATGAAGTCTTGTAAGGATTTCCATAGTTTACGTAAAGATCTGCACAGACTTTCAATCACAACTGTTGTTTAACTTCGTAATTAATTGACGAATTGGCATACTTTCCATACTATAAATTGTACAAAAATGAAAACAGAAATAAATACGCAACCTAATTTTGAGATTGCTGTTGTCAGAACCATAATATGTTTTTTAGGGCCTTAGTATGTAGAAAAGAGGATCTGCATGTACAATCATTCACACTCACTCTAAGACACTATAGCTCCCAAAATTTCGCAACACATATCGAAATATATTGCAACGTAAGTTGTTTGTCAACGCACAGTCCTAGTACATGTAATTGAACAGTACTTCAGACATAACGGGGTGTAATGAATCCTCTATGGGGTGATTAATGATCATGTCATTATGATACATATCACAAGTACTGAGTTACAAATAAAAATATTGGTAATGAATACAGTATAAAGTCAGCTGTTGACATATTAATCATTATATTCAGTCTAATAATAACAAATATCTATATGACATGTTTTGACCATGTTGACTGTGTGGGTGTTTAATCATACCCATGAAGATCCGGGTTAGAATTGATCTTCAGCAACCCATGCTTATTGTAAAAAGGTGACTTTTGGGATCGGGTGGTCTTGCTTGCTGACTTGGTTGACACATGTCATCGTATACCAATTGCATAGATCGATGCTCATAGTGTTGATCACTGGACAGTCTGGTCCAGACTCAATTATTTACCGACCGCCACCATATAGGTGTCTCTGGCATTAAACAACAAACCAAGAACGAACCAGTTATTTTATCACAACAAGGACCAGTGATCACATTACCATTAAATTGAATATAAAAGAGTGTTGACTATTATTCTGCTTGCCTTGGATATATTCCATTTTGCATACCTTATTTTCCCAAATAATAGCCAAACCCAAACTAAAACACTTATTCTTAGACACATTCATAAATATTCAATACAAGTAATCACAAATAATGAATTGAATTCATGAAGGATATGGTTCAATGCACCAGATAAGCAAGTGAATCATAATAGGCCTAGCAATAATAAATCTAATCTGCTAAATATATGAAGAAATCTCCAATGACTGATGTCTTGGTAGCTTAACCCTTTCATGAAACCAAACAGTCTGTGTACAGTCTTGAAAACCTAAGGATGACCAGCAGATCCTGGCACTACTAAAGAGATACAACTCAGCATAGATAACATTACCTTGCATAGATAATGAACCGAAGCCTTCCTCCCACTTCATAGATAACATTACCTGCATAGATAATGAACCGATGCCTTCCTCCCACTTCATAGATAACATTACCTGCATAGATAATGAACCGATGCCTTCCTCCCACTTCATAGATAATATTACCTGGAGGAGCTTTTGCTGATAATATTAATGAGCAGCTTTATTCAATTATGCTGGGTCAGTCTGAATTTCCAAAATTCCTTCTTTAAAAAATCTGAAAAGTTCAAAGATCAAAACAACCAAAATCACTGTCATTATTATAAGGTAAACAAAGTGCTTGTCACATCATGTCCTTAAACACATCTATTATCAGATTTCAAGTTGGACAAATTCACTTGACATTTGGCTCAAGGATGATCAGTGTCAAACATGGTTAAGTGGAAAATATCTTCTCTTACTAATCTTGACGTCTGTATTGATTCAGTGTCACAAGAAAAACTTAATTGATCTACTGATTTCCTGGCAAAGTAAAACACAATCAAGTTAGATACAGACAGATGGACATGGTGTTCTTTGTCCTGTATGTGTAGAGTAACCCAAATGATAGTCTGCGATATGAGCCACTAAGCCAATGCCGGAGCATTGTTCGGCTTGTATATTTAACATTCTCTTGCCATTGAGTGAGGGAGTATAGTTTTACGCCGCTTTTAGCAATATTCCAGCAATATCATGGCAGGGGACACCAGCAATGGGCTTCACACATTGTACCCATGTGGGGAATCGAACCCGGGTCTACGACGTGATGAGCGAATGCTTTAACCTCTATGCTACCCCACCGCCCATATATAAAAACAGAAATTCCTTCGAAATAACCAAGAGCAAGTACTATCCAATTTTGCTTGTTATCACTACAGAAAAAGTAATTCATGTAGACGTCATATCACGCGGAAAACCCGGGTACAATGGCTACAATATGTGAAGCCTGTAAGGCTCCTTCAGGTGTCCCTGTCGTGATATAGCTTAAAGCAGTGTTAAGCCTCACTTACTCTTCTGACAATGATGTCATGAGACATGTCAAGGCTAGAGGACTCAAAGATTTGCACAGACAGTTAAATATTGAAATGCACTCATTAAAGAAAACAAACTTCATGATGGAATTAAAATTGTTACCAAAACATTCAGTACTTACCAAGGCACTCTTGCCCACACCTCCACTGCCGAGAACCACGATCTTGTATTCCCTCATTTTGTCTGTCTACCCTAGAAATGATCTCACCTGCAAAAGCATGGAAAAAATTATTAATATATAATACATTTGTTCAAGTACTATATGGTCTTGTAGTTCCTTGTCTAAATATCAATGGTGGGGTAGCCTAGTGGTTAAAGTGTTCGCTCGTTATGCCGAAGACCCGGGTTCAGACCCCCACCATGGGAACAATGTGTGAAGCCCATTTCTGGTGTCTCCAGATATCCCCTGTGATATTGCTGGAATATTGCTAAAAACGGCGTAAAACCATACTCACTCACTCTTAAGTCAGTGTAAAGCAGAGGTACAAGACGCCTTGTCTGGAAAATACAGGGAGGCACAGCTGTGAGTCTTTAGTCTTCTAATAACTCTGACGGAATACAGCAATGGATATCTAAGGAAATTCAGTTTTTTGACGGGTGTGAAAATTTACATGAGTCTTAAAAAGTATAAAGCATGACAGAGGTGAATGCACACTCCTTCTTAAAAAGGAAATTGAAGTATATATCTGTACTAAGTTGGAAAATACATGTATTATTAAACGTGTAAAAGACGTTGAGCCCCAGATCACAATTAGCAGTTGCATCGATCATAATGAAGTTTCTTTAGAACAAGTTGATTAGTATTTCTGTAACCATGGTAACTGTTTGGCTGAAGAAGCAAGCATCCTAATAAACATATATTCTTTTATCTCTGTTAACACATTTATGAATCATGAACAGCTGGCTGGAGCTTTAATTTCCTACCATGATGATGATTACATACTGAAATACCATGTCACCTTAATTAACCAACCCTTGACTGCAAATCTAAAACAGATACCTTGTAAGCGGGTACTGTTACAATCAAGGGAGATAACCCAACAAGGCAAACTATGGAGCCTGAGTTCAACCATTTGACCACTCGATCCCAAGAATGTCAATAAAACTAATAGGATCACAGCTATTCGGTGGGTCTAGTGGAGGTGTCCACAGGGTTTACAACATGTACAAGGGTCGTATCGTCCTACACACTGCACTTTGATTGTTGACACTGACATGGATAAGCCTCAAATTCACAACAAAAGCAGTCAACATAAACGTGATAAACACATCACGTTCACATTACATCCTCCTTCGGTGGCTATCATATACACGGTGACGTCACACTGCTGAGTGAGTGAGGTGGGTTTTACGCCGCTCTTAGCAATATTCCAGTAAAATCACAGCTGGGGACACAAGAAATGGGGCTTCACACATCGTACCCTTCTGGAGAATTGAACCCGTGTCTTCAGCGTGACAAGCAAGCGATTTAACCATTAGGCCATCCCATCGCCCCTCACACTGATGAACTCATAGCTATGTGTACAGTAGAGCTGATACTGAATCACTCACTTATTCAGTCAATTGAACCATATCCCATAACTTGTTATTCGCAATTTGTTATATCGCAGTCATCAAAATCGCATATTCACAATTTTAAAAAAAAGCCTGTTTCTCTTGGAATTTGCTATTTATCAAAGCACAATTTGGAAAATATCCAAGCCAGGCAGGTTAATAGTCAATACACTGATACATAAAATTTGACAGCCATGTTGTCACTAGTGTTTGTCATGATAAATTATCACTGTCAGCATTGTCAAAACATGTTAAATAAATTCTTTTGTCATGATGTTTCACAGATTACAAAAAAAAAGATACATCAGCTGCTGCCTTGTTGTATTCGTTAACCTGTATTCAATGTGTAACATATTCACCTCGTAGACCTAGAGCACAGTGCATTAGGATTAGAAATTATGAGGGTTCTGTGATGAGCGATTACCCATTTTGTCAGGGTAGAGATTGTACTGGTAGAATCTCCGACTGCAATCTATATCCTGACATATGGTTTGGATCCAAGCCTCACTTTTGTTTTAAACAAGCCAAAACCAGCTGTGAAAACAACATTTCAAAACAATTCCTGGACCATTTTTTCTGTCTGAAAATAATAGGCCCTGGCCATAATATCAAAATTAATAGTCTCTCCCTCAGGTTTTATGCCACAGTAATTTAATCAAGACACCACTAAAGTTTTGACACTAGGGTTACGACAAGGACCTCTCATCTTTCATGTTTGATTTTGAATATTGAACCTGTGTGGTTAATATGGCTATAAAGGAAAATTGGAGTCAGTTGTGATCATAAAAACAGACAAATTCAATGATTGTTTCCGGGTCAGTCTGTCACAAACATCACAAGGCTGAAGTGAAAAACACACCACGAAACAGTAAAAATACAAGTTCATTTGAAACTCACCATGCTGATCCATTTTTCACTTTTGCAACATGTGGACCTTTATGTGTAAAAGATAATAAACTGACCTCACATAATCACGCTTAATAATGATGAAAAGTGTTTCATATACAGCCATTATACACCTTTTATAATTGCAAACATATGCATTGATATGTTCTTAACAATATTGCTTATAACCATGACAATTGATGAAAACAAAATCCAATGGCACATTTTCATCTTTCTGCAACATTGTAATGATAAATTTCATCAGATTTAACTCATTCATAAACCTTTTCATAAGCAAACACAAATATACTGAGGTTACTCAGCCCTGTTCTCAGGCAATATTGCATACAATCAAGACAGTTGATGAAAACAATATCCAATAGCTCATTTTTGTCTTTTGGCAACATTCTCTTGATTAATCATCAGATTTAACTCATCTATAAACCTTTTTATAAGCATATTATAATACACCTATTCTTGACAATATTGCATATAAATTAAGCATGACAATTAATGAAAACAAATCCAATAGCTCATTTTCATCTTTTGGCAACATTCTCTTGATTAATCATCAGATTTAACTCATCTATAAACCTTTTTATAAGCATATTATAATACACCTATTCTTGACAATATTGCATATAAATTAAGCATGACAATTAATGAAAACAAATCCAATAGCTCATTTTCATCTTTTGGCAACATTCTCTTGATTAATCATCAGATTTAACTCATCTATAAACCTTTTTATAAGCATATTATAATACACCTATTCTTGACAATATTGCATATAAATTAAGCATGACAATTAATGAAAACAAATCCAATAGCTCATTTTCATCTTTTGGCAACATTCTCTTGATTAATCATCAGATTTAACTCATCTATAAACCTTTTATAAGCATATTATAATACACCTATTCTTGACAATATTGCATATAAATTAAGCATGACAATTAATGAAAACAAATCCAATAGCTCATTTTCATCTTTTGGCAACATTCTCTTGATTAATCATCAGATTTAACTCATCTATAAACCTTTTTATAAGCATATTATAATACACCTATTCTTGACAATATTGCATATAAATTAAGCATGACAATTAATGAAAACAAACCAATAGCTCATTTTCATCTTTTTGGCAACATTCTCTTTGATTAATCATCAGATTTAACTCATCTATAAACCTTTTATAAGCATATTATAATACACCTATTCTGACAATATTGCATATAAATTAAGCATGACAATTAATGAAAACAAATCCAATAGCTCATTTTCATCTTTTGGCAACATTCTCTTGATTAATCATCAGATTTAACTCATCTATAAACCTTTTTATAAGCATATTATAATACACCTATTCTTGACAATATTGCATATAAATTAAGCATGACAATTAATGAAAACAAATCCAATAGCTCATTTTCATCTTTTGGCAACATTCTCTTGATTAATCATCAGATTTAACTCATCTATAAACCTTTTTATAAGCATATTATAATACACCTATTCTTGACAATATTGCATATAAATTAAGCATGACAATTAATGAAAACAACCAATAGCTCATTTTCATGGCAACATTCTCTTGATTAATCATCAGATTTAACTCATCTATAAACCTTTTTATAAGCATATTATAATACACCATTTTCAATATTCATATAAAATTAAACATGACAATTAATGAAAACAAATCCAATAGCTCATTTTCATCTTTTGGCAACATTCTCTTTTAATCATCAGATTTAACTCATCTATAAACCTTTTAAGCATATTATAATGAGGTTACTCATTCTTGACAATATTACATATAAATTAAGCATGACAATAAATGAAAACAAATCCAATAGCTCATTTTCATCTTTTGGCAACATTCTCTTGATTAATCATCAGATTTAACTCATCTATAAACCTTTTTATAAGCATATTATAATACACCTATTCTTGACAATATTACATATAAATTAAGCATGACAATAAATGAAAACAAATCCAATAGCTCATTTTCGTCTTTTGTAACATTCTCATTAACCTCATCTTATCAACTCATTTGATAATGGTGCTAAAGAGTTGACGTCTGCCCATAGTAATAGTAGAAGAGCACAAGAAACAATCACTTGTTCTCCATTAATTTCACAAGTCTTGTACTAGTAGACTTCAGTGAATTTTGTTCCCTGTACATGGACCACCATAAGCTGAACCTATTTAACAGTGGAACAAAGTTCAGAACACTAATAGACATGGGCTGGTTGTGTCATCCGACATGCCCTCACCCACAATTGTCTGTACCTGTCAACTGTCCATCAACCACAGCAATGCTTCCACCTAGGACCTGTCCCTCTGTGTATGTGAAAACTATATCAAGGTTACGTAACACCCTGTTGAAATCATCCCATCCACTACTGACCTCTGTGATGGCCTGTTATCTACAGCTACCTGATACGTAACAATCACGTCTGTCCAAACAGAATAAGACAGTGATACTGGAAGGTTTCACAACAATCGCACAGCAAGACAGGGATTAACTGATTGGCCATTAAGTGCCCTGTTTGATGTTATGGATTACAAAGGTAATAACAATTCATATCTTTGGATTAGCCTGTTTCAAATAGCGTATTATCTCCTACTGAGTGTTGATCGAGATACTTGTACACAGTTCACTAGCAGGACTGCTATTATTATGACAATATTTGTAGTTGGGCCTTGATATTCATTTGGTCTCCTTATTACACCATTGCAAGTGGAAAAAGCAATTGGAAACTGGTGATAAATGCACACAAAAAAAGGTGATAAAAATTAAGCAGTCTGAATCTTATGACAAAGTCTCAACATATCTACAATAACAACCTTGATAGGAAAATCTGAAAAATGACGCTAACCAATTTTATTCGATGATTGTTCGTTGGTAATGAAGCAATCATCAATTGTGAGATTTCAACCAATTCCCAACACTACCATATATATTGCCATACATGGTTTCAGATCAGTTTACAGTTTAAGATCAAGATAAATGTCCCAATGGATTTTTCATGACTATTTACGCCATGGTAGAATGTCCAATCCAAACTAAACCAGTCTAATGGCAGCTATTCATGTTCCTGTAAAACTCTTACTGTCTTACCCAATACAAGATCAGGTATAAAGATCGGTCAATACTGCAATAGGTAAGGTCCTGTAACACGACAAAACCCCAGACAGATCACAGTTGACTCAGTCAGATTTACAAGTGCTGGTCTAGCCCTGTTATCATATACTTAGTAGGTCAACTGTTGTATGCGGCCATACATGACTACTATCGACCAGCTGGGTCTCAATGGCTGGTCATGACTCACAGACTCACAGATTACACTGCCTGGCTTACCCTGGCTTACTACAACGCCGATAATTAGGTCGGCTCTCCTTCCCCGAACACCCACTGACTTGTAATCCCACTCATGTCGTAAACACCATGTAATGCCCTTGTGGATTCAATTGCCACCAGGTTTTACTGCTAAGACACAAGATCAGTGATGCTGACATCACCTCAGCTGCACTCACAGAGCTGTGGACTGCAAACTTCTCCAACAAACAAACACACACATTTTGCACCCTTACTTAGTTTCTCAGAATGGCGCCATTAAACATTAAAATGTCCAGTTAAAACCATTTGTTTCCATCAAAACAAGGAAACATAGCATGGATGAACAACTTCTTTATTACTGACAAAGAAGTTCATCCATATATCATTATCATTCCTTACTGTTCCAACTTCTACATGCCTCAAAGTTCTTCAAAACATGTAACACACACACTAAATGTAAGCATCTTCCTGACGTAAGGGAGTTACTGAATATAGAACTCCAGTTTCCACGTTAGGAACTAGACTGGAACATCTGGGTTGTATGTTGGTTCTACCACAACAAGTCTATACAGAACCCAGTCAAAAATGCATATTTCCTATATTTAAGCCCATGTCTTCTAATGTCACTGTTGGGTGAGTGAGTGAGTATGGTTTTACGCTGCTTTTAGCAATATTCCAGCAACATCACGGCGGGGGACACCAGAAATGAGCTTCACACATTGTACCCATGTAGGGAATCGAACCCGGGTCTTCGGCGTGACGAACGAACGCTTTAACCATCAGGCTACCCCACCGCCCGTCACTGTTGGGAGTGATGCTCTTTGGTAATAGCACATGGCAAACGTTGATATTTACTGTCCTTGTGCAATCAGGAAATTCCCTGTAGAATTTTGTTGTTGTTGGTTTGTTGTTTAACGCCGCACTGAGCAATATTCCAGCTATATGGCAGTCCAAGTCGAAAGAACTCCCCCCATGTAGAAAGACTCACTGGACTCCAAATCAGCGTTTGAATTAATTTTGAAAAGCCACTGGCCAGCAGGGCTAGTTTAGTAAAATGTTGCTAGCCTACATCATACTTCACTAGCCGTGCAAAATATCAATATCAAAATGCACATCAGTAAGAATTGGTGTGATGTTTGGTAATTGAAGATGGAAAGTTATTGTCGCACATCGGAAACAATATAAAACAAACAAATTTCTTCATCATATTCACATGCATTAAATAGAGAACAAATTATCTGAGACTTTCAGGTAGCCAGTTCGGATAGCTTTAACAATATATTACTGGTCCAATTCACAATCCACTAGCTAACAACAAAAACAAGGACTCTTAAAGCTCATTAATAATTGTGTGCCTGTTTTTTTAATAATAAAATGCGTAATTCCCAAATTTAAGCCTTGGGCTTAATTACTGTTTTATACGTTGGTGACCAAATGGGCCATTTTTCATTATTAAGCCCTGGGATTAAATACAGTAATTCCCATGATTGAAATCTGATTTTGGTCAACTGCAGGATGTTCTAAGCGTATACAAGTACCGTCAATAGATATTCTGTAAGACATTTTATGTTTCAATACCAACGTGCCAAAGTGATTTGATCCAGTTGGCAAGGTAAGACCTGTTGTATTACAAAATAGATGTTGGTATTGATCAGACTGTCTTGACCATTTCTTTATTTCAGCAAATCAAAGTTATATGAAAGGTGGAATCTGATTGGTCAATAAAAGAAATATAGTATGGACATAAAATCAAAATGACCATTAATAGTGCCATAACAAAGTCATAAAATTCCTAGGTCCTGAAACTATGGACTCGCACAGTTAACACCCTTGCTTCAGGGAGACATATCATTTGCACTTGATCAAGTCTACTGGATAATAAAATAATTATGATAATTACCACTTAACAACAGATATTGTAATCGTTGACAAGTCAAATGTAAATCCAGTGTTTAGGCTTTTCCAAAACTTCAAGGAAGAATTAAACCTTAGATTTCTTCATAGCCAATGTATAATGATGTGAGCCAAACATGTTGTGACACTGGGAAGAGAAAGACAATAGCTATTGAGATATCAACACAGAGTTCAAGAGAGAGTAACAGAAATAATGTATTCATAGCTTCGACCTTGGGAGCCGTGCCAATTTACACTTGTCAGAGGGGTACACAATGTACATGGATCTAGACTATTTTGTGGAGGATGTGATGTCTCAGTGTTTTACATTGCTGACCTTACGTGCCTGGCTCTGCAAGTGTGGGTTCGAATTCTGGATGGGACACAACCCATAAAAAAGCACTAGAATCTGTACTCTACCGAGAAAGTGTTGTCCAGGAATGGCAACAGGAAAATCTGTTTTCAGCTGAAACTTAATATTGTGTCATCGAATGGAGGGTTCAGGGTTTCTCAACAGATTTGGACGATTTACGAAATTGGTCAATTTGAAATAAAATCGGTGGAAATCCGTGGATCAGCGGAAAAATTGACATCGCTGATAGTCCCAAACATAACATGTTACACTGACCACTTTAAAAACAGCATTTTTGGATTTGAAAAGAAATAGACACTCTCCCCCCACCACCACCCCAAAAATACAATTTGAGACATATCCATTTACTGTCATGTCAGCATGAGTCTGGTTAAGCTTAAATCAATGTGACATTCATGGTCATACCTTTCGCACTTACATGAAATGTAACGTAACAGTCAGTCCTTAGAAAATTGTTTTCATGGCCGACATGATGAGCCTGTCACACTTAAAACAAAGCAGACCACCCACGACTGATTTCATACACCCAACTTTCATATTCAGCCTGTTCAGTCAGTTTGAAAGTACATCACGCGTCAGCTGAGTGCCGCCATTCAAACACATGGTGTGCTTGCCGACCTCTGATAATTGATTTCCAAATTAATTTCCATTTTCACCGATCATAACCACAGAATAAAAATACCCCATATGACCATGATGACAGCGTTATGTTTTAAGATAAATTACACCATACTGGCTGCCATGGTTACATATGATGATTGATGATTGACACATTGATGAAACCAATGCAACGTGAACTGATTATCTACCAGGTCAATGTAACCGTAGCAGACAGTCGGAATCAATCCTGTACAGGATATTCACTGAAGGGCAGTCCCACCGGTCCAAATAATTATCAAAGAAACCTCAGTCGTTGGAATTAGGATACTGTTTATGTCATCAAACAATGACAACCATTGAGATGAAGTCGTGTGAACAGTCTTCAATTACTGAGGATGCACAAAAGCCCTTAAAGGTCAAGGTCATGTTCCTCAAAGCTTTCCACGGTTCAATGGTCATCTGAAGTCTCACGCGAACATACAAGAAACAAGATGGTCACATTGAGACTGTTGGGTGCAGCTGGGTCAAAGATCAGTCTGACTCTTCATTTCAGCCACTCAACATGCTCTGGGAACCAGTACCCACTAACAGAAGTAGTATGATAATCAGTGGTCGAAACTGAATGGGTTCTAGGGGCCTTGAAAACCACTGTCAAGCGGATCCCCCTTTATCCTTTATATATTTCACATTAGGGACCCTTAATGTATATGCTTAGATTCAGAAACTCTTATGTATATTGATTGCTGGCCATGTTGGCCATCTACGAAGTAAGATCTACCATAAAATGGTCTACAGTTTCAATCAATGTTCCAATAAATCAATCACCTTCTAAGCATGCTAAAAATACTAAAATCAGCTACTAACATCCTGACTATTTTTTAAGAATTTTTACATACATTTCAACTGTGAAAGCAATTGTGAATTGAGATTTGAAACCTTAAGTTTGAAAACTAGCATGTCTCCCATCCTATGAAACATATGATCATAATGTTCGATGTTTGAGCAATTGTCTGATCATGCTAACGTGATCATCATATTAATCAAATGTAACACCCTCAATGATCATAATCATAAAATTAACATGCTAGGCATTCACATACTTACAGCTGTTCAAAGATTTGTTGTACACTGAATCTAAGTTTAAGTTAACAACCGAAAATGATGCAACACATCTGGCTTTACCAACTACGATAATAAGAGAATGATGAGAAGCGTAATTAAAATTTCCCACTATTTCCTGACCTAGAAACTTTCATGGGCTTTCACAAACATGCATATCATTATCACAATAACAAAAGTTGAAATTCATTCTGTTCCTGGTCCAGTGAACAAATTTCCTTGTATTGTGTATAACACAGTACATA